TGTCATATTTATTGACTGAGGCAATGGCGCCTTCATGGCTGAAATATAGCTGAGTGCTGATAAGGCAATAATGCAAACTATAAAATTCACTGCTTCTGGATTACAACGGTCTTTCGAGGTGCATGAAAAATTAAAATTTTGCCTACATTTAAAGCATTATCTCTAATATATTAAGGACAGAGATGCTATCAGTCCAAAAAAAGAATCAAAACTGCTACGCTTCTGCAGACCTGGACGCTTTTATTTAACGATCCTTAAATGATAAACTAATGGATGCATTCAATGTTTAAATGTTTCGAAATTATCAGAGATTCGTGAATATGGACTTGAGTCACTTTAGGTCGCTTAGGATGAGTCAAGAACTGATAGTGGAATTTTCCTAAATTATATCAATAGGCCTCATGGTTTCGTTGAATTTCATTTAACTTTGTCGCCTAAAAGGTTTTCTCCTCTAGGCTGGACTGTAGGTCCGACCTACTCATCTTTGCGTCAATAAACGCAACTGTATCCGGAACCGGATTGTGTGCATAAAGTGGCCTCATGTTACCACTCCATTTCACAGCCAAGGATGGCGGTGAGTCATAAAACAGACAGTTCAATTATAGTTTATGAAATCTTGCAGACATAAATCACAGGGGCTAGGAAATCGGGTGATTAAGGAACGCTGTAACACAGACCAATGTCCGCTATAATTAATCAATAATTATTTTTCAACCCTAATTAAAAAATACGACCGGAAACAGATATTGAGGGTAAAACGGATAGATAGATCACTTTATCTGGTTTTTGACTCTATTGTCCATACAGCTCTAAAAAAGAGTGGATGGGAGCCTGTGCAACTATGACAGTATAATAATGCTAAAGGAGAAGCGAACACTTTCCTTCTCTTCCAATATTTTTGAGCCCACTTTCTGAGTTCGCATGCTACGAGGTTTTGTGCTAATGTGGTGTGTTTCTGTAGAGGAGAAGTGCTGCCCCGTGCAAAGCTACATTTGCTATTTCAATCTCTACATATGTTTCGTTTGTAACTAAGGTTTTGAGACAACAAGTGTATAAGATATATTTGATGTATTTACTCTATTTCGAAACTGTAGTCTACCCTGTATGACAAAACCTGTTGGGAAGCAAGGCTATACGAAATTCAATGGAAATTTAAACTTTAGCCATGCCATTGTTGGAAAATTCAAATAGCAGTGCTTCATCACAATAAACGAAATATGGTAAACACATCTCATAAGCTAGACCTTTGTGAAATCACATTTGTAGTTGATGTCAATTAAGAAAACATGTATTTGCCATTTAAATTGATTACTTTACTTGCATGAGATGTGATGCCAGTAGTCCTAAAACCTACTCAAAACAAAAAATAATACATTATTTTAGATGTTAGTAGTTTTCGAGGCTATCAGTTATTCTGGGATGAGAACTTAGTCGCCCACTCTGAATGAGAAAGCCTCATGGTAGGCAACGTTAATTCAAATTTACTGCCGTCGTCAGGGCTATACAAATAATTGTGGAGAAAAATCAACTATCATTTTTCGTATATAAGCAGAGTTTCGAGATTATCATACATCTCATATAACTCAACTATCAGTCTCTAAATCACTTTAAGCAACCTGAAGTGGCTATGCGATTATTAAAGAATTAATAATAGTCTCGAAAATAATTAGTCTTATCGGTTTCAGTGGCAAACATATGTTTGTGTCATTAACACTCGCACTATAAATGTGATTTGAGCTTTTAAAGGAGTAGTAAGTCGTAAATAGATTCATGACTCCGTATCGAACTGTGCTCTGAGAGCTGATGAGATGGTTAGGATAGGCCAAACATGATCTAGATGATACGTCCATTTGAAAGGAATGGCTAATTGAAAACTTGAATATCACTCCTTAAATCATCTTAAGCGACCTATGTTGATTAAGTTTTGATTCAAGGATCTATGATATTCTCGAGATCTTCTCACATCGAAAATACGCACTACAAAAAGTTCTTGATTTTATTCATCTGCTTAGCCATCTCAGCTTCCCTTGCTTTTTCCCTGCAGGAGTTGGCGCCCGTGCTGAAATGGGTTCGAGGTGATGCGCTGACACGCGATCACTGGTACGAATTGTTCCGCTTGATTGAACTGCCCTCCTCTATGCGGCTCGAAGAGCTCCGGCTCCTCGATCTGCTCGAGCACAGTCAACAGATCGTGGCGCAGATGGAGGCTCTGCGACGGTTGAATCGACGGGCTCAAGCCGAGGTGGTGGTACGAGAAGCCCTACAAGAGGTGGAGACATGGGCGGCCAGCGTCACTTTCGTCTTCGCCGATTACGAGGACACTCAGGGCCGGCGAGTACATTTGATCAAGGACTGGAAGGATGTGATCAGTCAGGTGAGGCGATGACGACTACCATAAATCACACGAGATGAGTGTCATCCATCAGGACAGTTAACACTAGGTTCTTTTTGCTCGATCCCTTTCATCAAGTCTCCGTAGCTTCTTCGCGGACTCATTCTTAGCATTCGTTTTCCCATATTTTTCTGGCCAGCTTCGAGGTCATAGACATTCTATAGTATATAGAGTACCTAAGTTAAGATTTTGCACAATACCTCCCAATTATTTAGGTCGGTAAATACTGCTTCAATCAACACACCATATCCACGACTATTCTAAAATTGGGCAGCCGCGCTCTTAATGCAACAACTATGTCCTTTGAGACAATCAATAAATACGAAGTAGCAATTTTACTCATGTTGTTCACAAGAGATGATATAATGAAGTAATTAAATCTCATAAAGTCATTGATTTCTACGTTGCCTTCTCTCCAAAAAAGATTTCATTATTTCGCTACTAGTGCAATTGCGAAGTTTCATAACACATATTTAGAATGAGTAGGTTTCGAAACTATTAGTTACTCTCAAATACGAACTACCTCATTCTATGTAATAATCGATAGAGAAATATTCCCCAAAATAGCATGGGTAAGCACTCTGATGCTACTGAATTTTACTTAGTCTTACCTTCATAATGGTTTTTTTTCTCTATGGTGCATAGGAGTTTTGACCTCGTTTCGGCACTATTAGCACTGCCAACGGGATTCGAAACCAAGTCGTGAGTAGAGTGGCAACGTAGGGCCGTTCCGCCACAGAGACACTGCTGCAAGACGGTCATAGGGTAGATGCGACTTTTAAGCCAATCTAGATCTCTTGCAGATCACATTTATAATCGGACATTCTATGAGGCAACCATTCATATGCCATTAGAATCGATGCTATATTCTCTATGAGTAAACCTTTCATTTCCATTCAATTTCACATAGCCTTAATTTCCCAAAAGGTATTCTCATCCAATTTGAACTGCAATTTCGGTCCCACCTAGGTCTCATTAGCACCGCAAGCCGGACTCAAACCATGACAGTAAAGCGTATCATCTTTACACGTTAATCTCTACGCCAGATTGCCACGAGTGCCCTTGGGTCAGAGGGCAAATTTAAATTACAAGGAAGGCCAGGCGTTTTCTCACATCACATTCTTTGTCGGGATTATCGATGAATTAAAGTGGTATTTGCTATAACAATAATATATATTACTTATTTTTTCGTTTATAAGTAGGTGTTTAAGGCTTTCAGTAGATCAGATCAGTGTCTATTCTATTTCGTTTAAGGCGATAAGAGGACTGTTAGTTGAATTTTCGCACAATCATATGAGTAGATTTTGCGTTTTCATTGAATTCCACATGGCCTTGTCATATTACCCAAGCGCATTCTTGGCAATATGACGTAGTTGTTAACGTGTCGAGATTATACACTGCACTAATCTGGTTCGAGTCCCGCTGTGATGCTGATGAGACCTAGGCGAGGTCTAAACCACAGTTCACTCCAGCCGCGATGAGAATACCTTTAAGGAGGTAAGTATATCTAAAATTCAATGGAAACGTGAGATCTGCTTATACCATTGTAAGAAAATTTCAAATACAAGTCCCCTTTTCATTTTAGACTAAATAAGATTAATACACCTCATATATGCGATATACTGGTGATCTCAAAAACCTGCATACGAACGAAAAAATATATTTA